AAAAAAAAAAAAAAAAAAAGAAAGAAAGAAAAGAAAAGAAGGAAACCCGCTGAGCTCTTTAGGAAGGAGCAGGGCAGGTGCAGAGTCTGTTGAGGGAATGGGAAGGAGTCCAGGCTGTGGCCCTCAACTCTCCAACAGCAGAAACTACTCACACTTCTGATGCCCATGTCTTCCATTAGGTCAGCCATGTCTTCATTCTCTCCTACAATCAAAAGGAAGACAGGCCTGTCAGCACTCAGGGAGTCTTTCCTTGTGCTGGCTCAACAGGGTAATGGGGCCCCAACTTCAACTCCAGAGAACTGCCCACTGCTTTCTCTAGACCTGTGTACTCCTTCTGTGGGAGCTGAACACTGCACACAGCCTTCTACTTCCCACTCTAGGCCACAGGGACAGCAGCCCTGAAGGAAGTGGTGACCCCACTTCTGTAGTGAATATAGTTTTGAGATTGAAAGAGCCTAGGGGTCTGCCGGTTAGCTCTGTTGTTTAAGCAACTGCTTATGCAAACGCAGTCAGGCGCAGGATACTACAGTTCGATCCCCAGCTCCTCATGCCTTACCAGACCCGCCCTTAAGGCAGCCTGAGCCAGCCAAAAAATAAAAGAAAGAAAAGAGCCTGCCAGGCATGGTGGCACAAGCTGCTGTAATGGTGGACACATGTGTCAACCTGAGAAGTTTAGAAGGGAGCCAGAGTCCTCACTTGGTAGGTGTCATCATCCTGTGCATGAGGGCACAGAGATGCTGTGGGTGCTACACCAGCCACCGGGGGGTAGTAGCCTGCCTACAATATAAGGGAGTGAAAGAGGCTTGCTCTACTCCCTTTTGCTCCTCTTGCTTTTGCTGTCTCTGCAGCCTTGAACTGCCGCCCCTGTGCCACTCCACCCCGTCCGTCTTGGAGCCAGCTGATATGGACTGAAACCTCCACAAACTTAGACCGAACTAAACCGTTCCTATCTTGAGCATTGAGGGTCCATGAGATAATTCAGTGGTCTAAAGTGCCTGCTTAGGCAAGCACACAGGGACTGCAGTTTGATCCCCAGCATCACATGACATGCCAGCTCTGCTCCCAGGGTGGGCTGAGCTGGGCCACAAAAAACAAACAAACAAATAAATAAATAAATTGAGCATTGGGTATTTGTCTTAGCAACAAGAGAAAAGTAGCATACCTGGCCTGCCACTCCAAACCCAGGCCTGCCAAGTGACAGAGGCCGTTCCCCACTGGCACCAGACCTCCCCCGCCCGTCCAGACCCAGCACAGCCTGCCCTGTGATTGAGAACTTACGCTGTGCCTTGGGTCCACTCCATATCCCACCAACCCCAGGCCCTCCTGCGCCCGCCGCTCCAAGCCCAGGCCTGCCACATGAGAGAGGCCTTTCTGCGCATTCTTCAGATTTCCCTTGCCCGTTCAGAGCCAGCACAGCCCACCCTGTGAGTGAGAACTTCCCCACATTCTTGGAAGTCCTGCAGACCCACCAAAGATCAGCCCCGGTGAGTATGTTTGAGAGCTTCTGCGCTCTCTTGCCCCGCCTCCTCATATCCCTCCAGACCCAGCCTAGACCTGGCATACAGGCTTGGGGTGAAACCCTGCAGCTAAAGTCCCTGCAGCGAGACTAGGGTCAAAACCACACAGCTAATCCAGGAACAGAACATCTTACCAAAGGGTACAGCAGGCCCACCTCCAAGGGCAACAACAATAAGGAGCTGAGCACAGTAGCCAGACAAAAGCCAGGAACAACTGCACAAAATAGAACTTGGTATATCAGTACCTGAATTTCATTAGGTGGTAAGGATATAACTGCACCAGAGCTCTACACCAAAGGTCAGAGGTCAGTGCTATACGAAATGATAAAGACAAGGAGCAAAATGCAATCTCAGGCCTCGAGCCCACCCATAAGAAGTGCAGAGGACACTAGCTCAGCTGAAATATATGAATCAATAGCGTCGGAAGGAAATAAACAACAGCCGAAAGATATAGAGGAACTCAGAGCAGAATTAATTTCTCGAACAAAAAAAAAAAAGAAAAGAAAAAGAAAACTCTGAATTCACAGCACCTGAACTAAAGAATCAAATGCAGAAACATGGAGGAAACACAATGCCCACCCTGAACAAGTGCAGTGGACATTAGCTCAGCTGAAATATATGAACTAATAGTATCGGAAGTAAATAAGCAACTGCAGAAAGGTTTAAAGGAACTCAGAGCAGAATTAAGGTCTGAAATGAAAAAAGAAATCTCTGAATTCATAGCATCTGAACTAAAGAATCAAATACAGAAACATATGGAGGAAACCCAATCTGAAAAAAAACACTGCACTAAAAGAATTAATAACTGCTTCTAAAGAAAACACTGATAAAAAATACAGGAGATTTAAAAATGACAGATTCCTTGAATGATCAATACAGGAAAGAAACAGATCGCATGAAGCAAAGTCAAAGAGAAGTAGAAGAACTTAAAATCACAATCACAAAACTGCAAAACCATTTGAGTGAAAGTGAAGATAGAGTTTCAGATCTTAAAGACGCTGGTGCAGCTAGTGAAAAGATAAGAAAAGATCTTTTAAAAACAACTGGGATGCAGGAAAAAATTCATCACCAGCAAGACAATGCAAAGATGAACAATGTGAGACTAATAGGCATCAATGAGAAAGAAGGAGTCAATACAAATGATATAAAAAGAGTATGGGCAGAAGTAGTAGCAGAAAACTCCCCAAATATGAGGAAACAATCTGACATTCAGGTAACCGAAGCATACAGAACACCAAATAACTGCAACCCAATTAAAGACACACCGAGACATATAATAGTCAAGACCCCAGAAATCCAACACAAGAATATCATACTGAAAGCCGCTAGAGAAAAGAAGCAGATCACATTCAAAGGAAAACCAATCAGAATTACGGCCGACTTCTCTTCACAAACCAAGAAGAGCATGGAGCAGAGTACTCCAAGTCCTCTATGAAAACAAATTCCAGAGCACACTGGCCAAGCAATGGCTGTGACTCATCCACATGGCTGACAATGACAAAGGTTCTACAATCTGAGATACAGGATCTCAGGATAAATCCTGAGGGGATTTTACTAACCTTATCAGATCCAAAAGCTACAACTTTTGTTGCATAGGTCTTGCTTCATGTTGGTCTTAACTATCCAGCAGAAAAGTATAAAAACAAAGTATAAGTGGTAAAGCCATGGTGTTATGTTGAGTTGTACGGCACTCAGGTCAACAATTTCTGACACTGCCAGTTAAGCAGAAGACCCAATACTATTATGGACTACTGGACTCTTTTAGAATATTTTGCTGAGTTAACATACCTATAATATTCAAATGATGGAACTAAACAAAAAAGGGGATACAGATGAATGTTCACTTTGTATCTGTGTATTCAAAATGGTTAGGATATGGGGCTGGTAAGATGGCTCAGTGGTCTAAAGCACCTACTTAGAACAAGCTTATCAA